TTGACAAAATACATTCTATCCAGGCATATGACCCCTCCACATGACCCCTCCACTCAAATGAGCCTACCCATACCTAGAGCCTCAGCTCATACCTCGGTACTGGAAAGTCTTAAGTCCTGGTCTTCAGCCTCAGCTTCCCAATTGAATTATCAGCCTGAATCTGTATCCTGTTGTCTGGTGGACTGTAGCTCACCATATTGTAGCACTGTAGCATTGTCATCCTGTTGTTTATCGATTTGCTCAAGCGAGCACCAGTAACGTGTCCATTGTGAGGCTTGTTGTTACTGTTTTTGGCATATTGAATACGCCACAGGGAGCTTGCCAGGCTCTGTCGTGCGGGTGGGGTTACTCTTGGTAGCTTGCTGGGCTCTCCAAGAGGGATGGAGGAATCCGACCCTGGTCGGCCCCGTGCAAGGCAAACACCTTACCCGCTGTGCTATCGAGAGGGAAAAATGGATTTGGAGCCAGAACAACTGGTTCTGATAAGACCCAACTTTGGGACTTTGAACAAGTCTAAGCATCTTTCCTTTTCTATAAATTGAAAATGACTCTGTAAATAATTAAATTATTGCATTAAATTATTGACTGTGTAAAAGGATTAAATTTTTGGGTACACATCTAAGGACTTTAACTTACTCCACTACAGTTGAAAACATTGATTGTATCTTCTTATATTCACTTAGTTGATGGCATTCATCTTTCACTAAACTCTAAGCACACTAGACTATGTCAGGACTTTGTCTGACTTTTATTATTAGTGTGGTAGTGATGGGCCAGTCACTCAGCCACTACCTCATTTTCTTCATCTGAAAAGTGAGGATATTAATAGAATCCTTTTCATAATTTAGGAAGTTTGCCTGAGTTAATACATATAAATTCATAATAAAATACTTTAGCCTCCTTGATGTAGTTATTATAAAGTTAATGTAAAGTCAGGTTCAGAATCTGTCTTTTATACCATTGCATAGTTTTTTATGATGTTTCTCTATTAGGTGATTGTGATTTTTTAAAGGAGAGGTCATGTCTGATGTGATTTTGTGTTCCTGGTAACTCGCGTGCATGATCATGTGATAGTTTTCAGTAGAGGTCTATTAAGCTGGTAATCTTTTGGAAGTACACATATCTAGAATTTCTGACTCATGTTTCCTTTTTCTTTTCACAGGAAAAAGCCCTCTGGTCAAAACAACAAGAAGAGAGCTGTTGAAGATAAAAGTTAATTTAAAAAAAAAAAGGACTTTTTTAAAAAGGCAGAATCAGAAACAATTTTGTGTTTCCCACACAAATGATGGCTTTATGGAATTCTTCAAGTCTTATATTATTTGTACCAAACATTTGAAATCGACTACAAGAACATGGGACTGGTGAAAAAAGATCCTAAACTATAAGTGCTTCACATCAAATTTTGTTTGTAGGTGACTTTCAAATGATTATGTGAATGGAAATAGCATTCATTGACATTTCTATGGCTTGAATCGAGAAAGATACTTCTTATAGAAGAACAAACTCTTATGCAAAGAAAAAATAACAGCACCCAATTGTGGTGAACTTAACAACTGTTTTCCTTTAACGTATGAAGGAAAGTGGTAATATGCAATGTAGAGGCATCTGGAACCAAATTTCCAAATAAAGCCTTAAAGTTGAATATCCTTCCATGTACCCTTCCAACCACTTTTTTTTTTTTAAATGGACGGGAAGTTGCAAAGACTAACAAGTGAAAACTGCTGCTCTCTTTATTTATTGTTTCTCAATTTGTTGATAGCCTTTTGTGATATGAGCAGAGAGTTCTATGACTATATTCAAGGGCCGTGAAAGTCTTAATTCTTTGGTCATTAAATACCCTTAGACCTCGTTCATGATGTTGCCTATATCTTAACCTCTCATAAGGTTGCAGTTACAGGATTATGATCAGCTTCTCCCCTTCTTCAATTTTCCATTGGTAAGCCATGTTCTTCCCTATCTCTTTCCATTGAAGAAAACTGATAAATGTTTTATCCCAATGGAAGAATGTTCCTGTTACTCGATACACCTTTGGCTTCATTCTTTCACAGCTTGTCTTTCCCAAGACTATTTGTAGCAGGTCCCTGCCCATGAGTAAAGGATAATGATCATACAGTAACAAAGACTGTTACTGTATTCAAATTTTCCACAACAGTGGCTGATTTTATACAGAGAAATAAAAAATTGACTTCATACATGTAAGGTGCTTAGAATAGCACCTGATGTGAATGCTAGTTACTAGTATTGATAGACCTATAATAATAATGCAGCCCTATTTTTCTTGAAAATATTTAAAATTTTATCTACCAAATCAAAAACAAGTAAATAATTTTAAAACAATTTCATTCTCCTTACCATTCTGACAGGTGCAGTATCTAGAGATTGGCTCTTGGGAGTACATCCAGCAGAAAGACCCATGGTCTCAGCAGCCCAAGTCAAAAGTCAGTCCCTTGGCATTAATGCAGTCTTTTTGTTAACAACTTTCATTCTTGGTTTTTTTATTCTAGAGCCAGGATAGGTAGACTTTATTTTGAATATTTTGGAAGAGACAAAAATAGTCCGTCTTTAGCATTTATATACTGGAGTCAATTGCAAAAAATAGTAAGGGTGGGAGATAGTACAAAGGATAAGGCTTGCCTGCAACTAACCCAGGTTCAATCCTCAGCAGTTCATATGCGTCCCTGAATACCACTAGGAGTAATACCTGAGCACAGAGCCAGGAGTAACCCCTGGCGTTTCCAGATGTAGCCCAAAACCCAAAAGTTAAATAAGCACATGATTTGTCTTTTTGTTTGCTCCTGTAAACATAAAAAGGGGTACAACTGAATGGGTTGTACTGGGGCCACCCAGTTATTTAATGTTTAATAAATTCATTCTCAGGGCTTTTGGGATTTTTTTTCCTGTATGAAATTGGAGATTATTGTTTCAAGATTAAAAGTACCTAGCACGGGACCTGAACGATAGTATAGAGCGTTTGCCTTGCATGTGGTCTACTTGGGTTCAATCTCCAGCATCCCATGTGGCCTCCTGAGCACCACCAGGAGTAATTCCTGAGTGCAGAGCCAGGAGTAACCCCTGAGCATCCCCGGGTATGACCCCAAAATATCAAGCGCTATGCTTCTCATGCAGCCAACTCCAGTTTGAATCCCTGGCACCACATGTGATTCCTCAAGTACCTCCAGGGGTCACTTCTGAGAATAGAACCAGGAATAGCCCTCTCAGCACAATGGGGTGTGGCCCAAACTGCTTGCTTGTGTCTGACAAGTTGTAAACTTGTAACAAATATTCCTTCAGCAGACATGTTATTTACTTAGAAAATCAAGACTTAATAACAGAATTCACTTTTAAAATGTAGTGATAGAAATAAAAGAAGAAATTAGACTGGAGATGGGGCTTAGCGTAGAACCTATTCTTTGTATGCACCTTGGGTTCAATCCCTGGTACCACAAAGGAAAAAAAATATAGGCTGTACCATTTTGTTTGTTTTGGAGCCACATCTCTTTGTGCTTGGGACTTATTTCTAGCCCTTGGCTCAGGGATCACTCCTGGTGGTGCTTAGGGGACCATATGTGAAATGGCTCAAATGGGGGTCTGCCATATACAAGTATTTAATACATGTATTATCTCTTTATCTGGCACATAATATTTTAAACACAGGATCAAAACACAGACATCACAGGGAGAGTATTCAACCCATATTGAAAATGTCTTGAAAGATTGATATCCTGAATTTAATTTCCAGGTGCAGGAATCAATATACAAATAAAATATTTTAGAAATATTGCATCTGTGGTCCTTGATATTACTCCCATTATTTGACTTTTTAGTTATTTTCTTCTGTGTAAACCACCCATCCTTAAATGTGGCTTGGTAAACCAGCTTCACCTTAGATTGTCAATGGGTTGATTACTGAATTTGGTGCCTCTATATCGGAACTAATTTGCCACAAAAATATCAAGGCTTGAAAAGGAAGGAATGAACTTAATATAGGAGCTGATATTACAGGAGTTAAGACGCTTGGCTTAAATGTGGCCCAACTTCCAGATCAATCCCCAGCTCTTCATGTGGTGCCCAGAGCAGGTTCTGATGCAGTCCCAAAACAAACAAAAAGCATTAATAAATGTGTTAATTGAATAGCTGGTCTAGCAAAAAAAGTACTCACAAGGTGACCTGGCAAATGTTGCTATTTTGACTGGTTTTCTCATCTGTAAAGTGTTCATACACTGAAATACTGAGGAGTGTAATTTTAAGTCACGGCCAGTGATTTGTGCCCAGTAAAAGATCTAAGGCAGGAGAGAAAAAGCAGATTGCTTGAAGGGCTTGAAAAAATGCTTACACTCATACTGAAGGTCTGAAAAAGTTATACAGCAATTAGATTAGTAAAAGAAATAATCAGTAAAACTATACCGGGGTAGGACTAGTCTGCCCTGTTTTTGCTCATGTTTACAAGTGTAGGCAAAACGGATTACTGGTGCCATAACAGAACCAAATACTTGGAAGGTTTAATAGATTTATTTGGCCTCGAGATTTGGGTTAACTAAATTAACATTTAACTTCCTTCCACTCCCGGAATGGGTAGTAAAAAGAAGCTAAGAGCCTCCGGAGAAAAATTGAATTTGATATCTTCAACATTCTCGAGTTACTAGGGCTCGGGATCCATCCCCATTGTTATAAGTAAAAAGTATAACAAAGACTTGAATATCCAACATCCGGTTTAAAAAATAGCTTATTTCCACTACCCCCAGATGATGGTTTTCAACTAGAGAAACAGTGATGCTTTTCTGTGCGACCTCCCGCTGGACCCGCCCGCCGCCCTTGTTAGAGAGTATGAATGGGCTCCCCGGCCACGGCCCTTCGAGACGTCAGCCGACCTCGCAGCCCTGGAGCCCCGCGCTGGGCCACGTGACGGGGCGGGCGCAGAGTCACGTGGGCGTGGGCATCCCGCAGTGCAGGGCGGGGCCGGCGCCTGCCCCGGAAGTGGCTGGCTTCAGCTGTCAGCTGGGGCGGCGGCGGCAAGCCGGGAGCAAGATGGCGTTGCGGCCGGGAGCGGCGGCGGGCGGCGGCGGCGGCGGTGGGCCCGCGGGAGCTGGCGCGGGGGCCGCCGGGGGAGGCAGGTGGGTGTCGGGGCCGCGCCGGGACTCCGCGGGGATCCCCGCCGCGCTGACACGGGCCCGGCGCCCGCCGCGACCGGGGATGCGGACGGTTGTGGCGGTTTTCGCCCACCCCGACTGTGCCTTTCGGGCCGAGCGGCGGGCACCGGCGGAGGGGCAGGTGCATCCCGGCGGCCGGCTCCCGGGGTTCCCGGCTGGAGCCGACGCGCGGGGCGAGCGCGCGCTCGGGGCCGGGAGTAGCGTAGGGGAGAGGGGGAGGGTCCCCCGGCTTCTGGTCCTGGAGGGGCTCTCCGGGGTGAGCGTGGACGCGGCGAGCGATGGTGGGGGGGGTGGACCCCCAAAAACCTGGTCCCAAAGCGAGCTGCGTGTGTGTGCGTGCGGCTCGGCTTTTGCAGCGCTCTGGCCTTTCTCCGCTTCCTAAAACACGCCTGGAGCCGCAGGGAAAGCTACAGGCCTTTGAATGGGGATAGGGGCGGTCGGAGACTGGCTTGCAGTCAGCACAGCCTGCAGAACAAAAAGCTTCCAGACTTTGACTTAAGCTGGAGACGGTGTGTCAGCAATTGTCTGTGGCTCGCCGAGCGAGCCGGGGCTGCGAGGCAGAGGATCACGTATGCAACGCCGGACAAGCCCTTCGTTTCAGGAAATATTTTATCGCAGCGAATGTTCACCCCCATTTCTAGCATGACCTAGTTCTGTTTTGTTTTTATATATGCCAGTGCATACCGCATTCACACTTGGAGAGAAAGCTTGTTGTCTTCAGAATCCTGAATTACTTGGGGGAGGACAGCGTTCCTTTGTTTTTGTTTTGAAATAGATACAATGTTAATTTCGGACCATTTTGGACGCTACAAACACTGTAGTGTTTCAAGTTACCACCTCCTACGGTTGCTCGTGGAAGAGCAGACTGTTTTCCTTTCCTCAACACTTCTTTTGACTTTGTTTTTAAAACTTTTGTCTTGTAGTTTCTTTTTAAGGGAGTGGGACTATGCTTGGTGACTCTTGTGTTCCCAGTACTTCTAGGCGACCGTGCCTGTATGCCAGGCAAGAATCATGACCTCTATACTCTCTCTTGTCTTATAATTTCATTAGACCTTTTTTTTCAGTTGGGGTGGGGGGTCCACAGCCCGCTGTGCTCAGGGCTTAGTCCTGGTACTGCACTCAGGGACCACTCCTAGCGGGCTCTGGGCAATATCTATGGTTCCCGAGATGAAACCCGGGTCTACCATGTGCGGTGGGTAGGCAAGTGCCCTTCCCATTGTAATATTTCTCCAGCCCCTCAAGGGTTAGACTTTTTTTTTTAATGACTACTCGTTAGAAGTTTGTTTCCAGTTGGAGAATAAAATGACATATATAATCTTTATTTTCTGTGTGAAGTGATGGTTTCTAAAAGATTGCTGAGTGATATTCATTTGATAAAGTAAGATTTATTCTGGCAACAAGATACGGAAGAATACAACCTTAATATAGTGTTCTAGGCCCAGATATTCAACTTTTTGGAAAGGAAGGACTTCAGTTGTGGAAAATTGGGTTTACTTAGTTCATGGTATTTTAATATTGTTGGTCTTTGAGTACAAAATTTAAAAATAAGTGCTAACTCGGGGCCGGAGCCATAGTACATTTGCCATAGTAGGGCATTTGCCTTGCATGTGACCGACCCAATTTCAATCCCAGCTTCCCATATGGTCCCCAGAGCACTGCCAGAAGTAATTCCTGAGTGCAGAGCCAGGAGGAACCCCTGAGGATCTCAGGGTGTCACTGCCACTCTCACTGTCCTCTCATTCATTGATTTGCTTGAGTGGGCACCAGTAAAGTCTCACAACAAATTGTGAGACTTGTTACTGTTTTTGGCATATTGAATACATCATCAGTAGCTTGCCAGGCTTTGCCATGAGGGCTAGATACTCTCGGTAGCTTGCTGGGCTCTCCAAGAGGGATGGAGGAATCGAACCTGGGTCTACCGTGTGCAAGTCAGAAGCCCTACCCGCAGTGCTATTGCTCCAGTCCATCTCAGGGTATAAAGCAAATAAATAAATGCTAACTAAATTATGATACAATTAGGGTGATTTGTTTTCATTTCCCCACCCACCCCCCCATGATTAGTAATATGCATTCCAAAACACTAGAGCAGCCATTTATCTATAGGGAACTGTAGAGCCCTCAGGATAGTCCAAGGGGCTATAGCTGAAAATAACATAAATGAGGGAACACAACAGGATTCTAGAAGGCCAAGTTTTTCTCAGTCTTGGTTCCCTCCCAACCTTGTTTCCTTCCTGTCATTCCCATGTTACTGTTTGTTCCTCAGTCTCATGCCATGCCCGCCCCCCCACGTTCCCATAATTTTCACCTGTGGCCCCCTTGGAATATTCTGGGGTCCATGTGGCCCCAAGTTGAATAATGCTGCTCTGGAAGATATGGGCAAAATAAAAGTGGTTAAGATGACCTTTACCTTGAAAAATACATGGTAAATTATATATGTTGGACACTCTGAGGCTGAGTTACTATGTGGAAAAAATCTTGCGGTTTTTCAAGAGTAATGATGAATGAGGGCTTGGGTAAATTTATAAAGAAGCTAACATTGTGGTAGCATAAAAATTTTAGCAGGAAAAGAGAAGAACTAGGTAACTATTTTTTTTTTTTTTGCCGGAGAAAATCCATTGAACTATTACCTAACTGCATTTCTCAGATGTCTCACTTCTGAGAAACTAAGTAAAAAGCTGTGTCATTTTTATTATTATTTGTGTCCTGAGTGGGCTATTTGTGTGTAGATGATAAAGTTGCATAAAAGTCAAATTGAACCTGAGAAGTATTTTTAAGTATGGCCAAAAAAAAAGAATCTTTAGATAACAATTAGCCTGTGTACTTTTGATATATTATCATTTATGAGCTCGTCTTTTTTCCTGCTTTTTAATAAACTTCTAAGAGGTCAGAGCAATAGTATAGCAGGTCAGGTGTTTGCCTTGCATGCGATCAACTATATTTGATTCCCAGTACATACTAAAAAAGAAATAAATATTTTAAAATAAACTACTTAAGGATTTCCTATTTTCACTTTCCTCTACTCCACTTCGAGTACATCCAAATGCATAAAAAAGAAACATTCTACATATATTTGTGGATTCAAGTGACTCTGAAGACAAGACAAGCTATTTCAGCTGGGTCACATTTAGAGAAAGAGAAAGGGGCGAAAAAAATCAAAGAGATGATTTTGTAGAGTGGGAAGACCTAGGGACAGAGGGAACAGGAGGTGGACCAGATGGACTGGCAATAAATGGGGGTTTTGTGAGCTGAAATTGAGGAAGGAGAGAGCCTGGAATATAAACAGGAAAATCATTTTAGGAGGGAATTTGTAGAGTATTTTTCAACCTTGGAGTGACCTTGGTAGTTCTTTAGAAAGATGTATTTCACTTGTGCTGTTTGAGATGATTTAAAACAGGATATTCTAAGGGGACCAGCAACCAGTAGTTAGGACAACGGTCAGAAAAGAAGTCAAGAAACACTTCAACATTTTTGAAGAGGTTGACCAGCGTTCTTTTCAACTGCAAACTGGCCTTTATAACCAAGGCAGTAGGCCAGTGGTTTCCAGTCTTTCTAACTTGCAGGCCGATGCTGGTGGTTAGGTATGCCAATTTAGAGGACTCAAATGTGTATAAGTGGGAGAGTTGCACTGGGAAGTCAAGTAGCAGTTCTGGTTGAAGAAATGAAGGTGAGGACCAGAGAGGAGAGCTCAGGGGAATGAAGTGCATGCTTTGCATGGGGAAAAGGCATGGGTTCTGTGGCACCCTAACACCTGGCTGGGAATGTTCCATAAGCAAACGACAACAAAAACAAGAGAAGGCTTATCCAACTAATTTCAAAAGTAACCGAAACAGAAGGTTGATTGAGATAGGTATGGGACAAGCTCACAGTTCTGCTATAGGCAGATTTATAGAGAAACAAGATAGAATAGTGGTTATTGGAGGTTGGAAGAGATTTATTTTATATTTGAAAGAAATTAAGGTCTTAAAGGTTCTTTAATATGCTTTTTAACCATGTATCTTATATTTAAATCATTTTTCTTAAACCAGATAGCTCTGGTCTCAACTTTTATGTTTAGCTACTTATATTCTGTTATTTCCTTCAAGATTCAGCTCAAAAAGATAAGCTCCTCAGAACTTTCCAAGATGAGTCCATCAAATGAATCCTTTTTATTTCGATTAGTGTTCTGGACTCTCTCTGTACTTAGTACACACTGTCCTATACTAAGGTTACTTGCTCGCATCTGTGTCTTCAACCAGATTGTGAGCTATTTTAGTCTTTTCATGTAGTAGGCATCCAATAATTGTTCACTGAACTGCATCTGATCGAATCCTTTCATTATATTGAGGGGGGAAATTGGGATCAGGGAAGCCATCCAATGGCAGAACCAGGACTAGTTTCAGTACCCATCTCTTCTGATATAAAAGAAATTTTCCAGATGGGGCCAGATTGATAGTACAGCAGGTAAGATGTTTGCCTTGTATGCGGCTGACCTGGGTATGATCTCCAGCATCACATATGGTTTCCCGAGCACCGCCAAGAGTAACTCCTGAGCATTGCTCGGTATGACCCAAATAGCCAAAAAAACTGTACGGCACTATCCTCCCGTTGTTCATCAATTTGCTCGAGCAGGCCCAGTAACGTCTCCTTTGTGAGACTTCTTGTTATTGTGTTTGGCATATGGAATACATCACGGGTAGCTTGCCAGGCTTTGCCGTGCAGGCAAGATACTCTTGGTAGCTTGCTGGGCTCTCTGAGAGGGGTGGAGGAATCGAATCTGGGTCGGCCGTGTGCAAGGCAAATGCCCTACCTGCTGTGCTGTCACTCCAGCCCAGCCAAAAAACAAAAAAGAAAACAACACAAAAAGCTTCCCTGAAGTCTCATAGGTTTTCTGTTGTGGATGTGCAGTCTGTATTAATGTCAAATGATTTAGAATTGTACCGCAGTACAGACACCGTGGCTCTCTACAGTTCTCTCAGAGAGCTATGTGAAAGTTTTCTTGTTTTGTTTCTAACGGCATGTTTTATTTGAATTATGAAGATTATAATATATTTTTGTTCTGTTTTCAGCTTCATGTTTCCTGTTGCAGGTGGAATAAGACCCCCTCAAAGTACGTGAAACTTTATATTCTGACCTTGGTTACTATATGCATAAATAGTAAGTTCTGTTGCTGTCAAATAGGGTAAGATTTTTTTCTATAGTATCGAACCTATATTATTGAAATTTTTTTATACAGAAACATCATGCTGACATATGCTTAACCTCATTAACAAGAATATTTTTTGTACAGGAGTTAAAAGACAAGTGACAGCAGTTCAGTGAGCTGTTATTCTCTGACATCTTTCTACTGTCTTGTTTTGTGCTATTTCTTAGGCAGGGGCCATGTCTGCCTTACACTTGTCAGTACCTTCAGTACCCAGAAGGAACATGACAGTTTCTCTGTATGTGTTTGCTGAGTGAATGAGTGAATCTCTTTCCTAATGCCATGTTTCCTTGATATGAACTTTGTCTTATTATAATTATGTAATTATAATTATACACATAATAAACAAAAAAATACACATTCTGATATACAAAAAAAATCACATTCCAAGGCCAGAGCCATAGTACAGTGGGTAGGGCACATGCCTTGCACATGGCCAACCTGGGTTTGATTCACAGCATCTCAATCTCATATGGGTCCCCTGACCGTGGTGGGAATGATTCTGCTCACAGAGGGTCTGACATACCCTCTCCCCTCTAGATAAGCCAAGCTGCTTCTGAAAACAAAGCTGCTGTTCTCACAAAGCCCATGTTGATGGGTAATTGTAACCTAGTTAGAGTAACACTTTAGGTCACTCAGCAGAGATGAGAGAGATAGAATTGCGCACTAGCAGGTGGTTAGTTGCTCAACTGACCTTGTCTTCTATTATAATCAGTGATAGGGGTCAGGTTTCAGGGAAATTTTTCCAAGGGTCAGTTGTATTCTTTACATTATGTTCACTTTTATGCATTATTTATGTGGCCCAGATTTCTATCAGAGAACTTGGAATCTTGTTCTGTAGAAAGGCATTACAGTTATGTGCTTCTTATTATTTTGCATATTTATAAAAAAGGTAAAGGTAAAGGCCCTCCCGTTGATCATCGATTTGCTCGAGCGAGCCCAGTAACGTCTCCATTGGAGACTTTGTTGTTACTGTGTCTGGCATATTGAATACTCTCGGTAGCTTGCCGGGCTCTCCGAGAGGGGCGGAGGAATCGAACTCGGGTCGGCCATGTTGGCTGCGTGCATGGCAAACGCCCTACCGCTGTGCTATCGCTGCACAGCTTGCATATTTATAAACTTTCAAATTCTGCTTAATGGAGTGAGGGACCAGAGAGGTAGAACAAGAGGTAAAGCACTTGCCTTGTGCGCAGTGACCCAGGTTCGCCCCATATGGTTTCCTGAGCCCCTCCAGGAGTGATCCTGAGGGAAGAACCAGAAGTAAGTCTTGAGCACCACCAGGTGTGCTCCAAAAACAAACAGAAAAAGTCTACCTATCTGAGGAGTGAAAGAACACGAAAGCCAGGGGGTTGCCAATGTATTTTTCTTCTGAAACTTGGAATTGTTTTTGAGCCTTTTTAAAAAAGATAAAATGTGTTAGAACATATTTTATCATTTGAAGTTTTTAAATTATGCATTGTTTTTTCAAAACATACTCAAGAAACAACAACAGGAGTATCCATAAGATTTCAAGAGATAAAACCTATGGGGACCAGGAGTTTGGAGTGATAGTACAGTGGGTAGGGCATTTGCCTTGCACATGGCAGACCCAGGTTCGATCCCCACATCCCATATAGTTCCCCGAGCACCATCAGAGGTAATTCCTGAGTGCAGAGCCAGGAGTAACCCCTGAGAATCACTGAATGTGAACAAGAAAAGCTAAAAACAAACAAAAACCTGTGTTGCCTTTTTTTTTAAATGTGGGGATCCACTCCACTGTTGCAAATGGTCTTCTCCCTATTGTGAAAGGGGCTTGAGAAGTGGGCACCACACCACATCAGGCAATGTCTATAATTCCACCCAGTGCTGTGGATTGAACTAGGGCTTTACACATGCAGTGTATCTGCTCTGTCATTTCAGCCACACCCTCAACTTTTCACCTGTTTGCTTTTATGCTTTTAAACGTCTTAAGCAATTCACTTTTAAATTAAAATTACCTGCAGAGCTTATATTCTTAACCACTATTGTATTTGTTATCTACTGCCTCATAGAAGATACCCAAAAACTTAAAAAAAAAAAAGTCACAGTGCAGGTGGTGGGAGCAGGAGTCTGGAGCGACTTCACTAGTCTTTGTTGCTTGTGCTCCGAGCTGGAGATTGCAGTACACACATCGTTGCCCAGGATGACAGGCAATTTTGTGGTGTTATCTCCAAGATCTGTTTCCAAGACATCGATGGCAAATTTGTGCTGCTTTTTAGCACAAGACTTGTGTTCATTGTAGCATAGATTTCCCCACAGGACTGCTTGAGAGTGTGTCCAGCAGCTGCTTGACAATGCAATGCTTTTCTCAGAGCAGGTGATCCAGGAAGCATGCACCAAAATGAATACAGAATAAATATTATCTTAACTTTACAGATGAAGTTTTGTAGCTTGCCCAAGATTATACTGCTGGGTCAGTGGTAGAGTTTGAAGTCTGCCTCACCAGGGAGCCTTCTGCTCTTTCAGCCAGTGGTGCCAGTCTGCTTCTTAAGTAACAAGTCTTTTAGGTACTTAGGGTTTTAAAGAAACTTTTGAAACACATTACCTTTATTGTTTGTTTTTGTCTTCGGAGCATGTCCCACAGTGCTAGGAAGGGGAGGCATTGATTCCTCTCCTGTTTATGGGACTTCGTGATACAGGGGATCAAACCAAGGCTTCTTTGATGCCAAGCATGCAAACCAGCCCAATGAGCGCTCTTTCCAGCCGGCTGGAGAGAGCTACAAGCACGTTGACTTTAATGATACCTTTATCTTTCAGCAGGCCTGATGCCAATGCAACAACAAGGATTTCCTATGGTCTCTGTCATGCAGCCTAACATGCAAGGCATGATTGGAATGAATTATGGCTCTCAAATGTCCCAAGGACCTATTGCTATGCAGGTACTTGTTTCCTTACACGTAATTTACAAAGTGAAGGTTTGTTATGGATCAACATACAATGAGCTATATGCTAGGAGTTTAATGGGATACATGGAAATAAGTGTTGACCACAAATTGTGGCTTTCTCTTAAATAACATGATACATTCATAAGAGTCCGGGAAATGAACAAGGTAAACCACTTGAAGAAAATATGGTGACTTGAGAATTTCAGAAATTCAAGACATCTTAGAAATTCAGGGATGTGATATCAAGAAGTTGCATTGAGAAGATATACCACTATGCTCAGAACAAGAGCAGTGTTGGCACCAGAAATTGTACAGGAGTTAAGGCAAGTACTCTGTGGATGACCAACCCCAGTTCAATCCCCAGCAGCACATGGTACCCTGAGCGTCACCTGGGGGATGCTGAGTACCACAATACATTGAAGGATGAGCCAAGAATCTCTGGGAGGGGCCCCAGGCCTTCTGAGCACCACTCATGATTACCCCCCACCAAAAAAAAAAAAAACCCAAAACAACAACAAAGAATTACTGTTCTAAAGAACCAGTAATTTGGAATGTTCAGAGACTTCTTGATAATGAATTATCTAATGCCTGTAACTACATTTAAAGTAGGTAAGGTAAAGGTAAAGGCCCTCCTGTTGTTCATCGATTTGCTCGAGCGGGCCCAGTAACGTTGGAGACTTTGTTGTTACTGTGTCTGGCATATCAAATACATCATGGGGAGCTTGCCAGGCTCTGCCGTGCGGGCGAGATACTCTCAGTAGCTTGCCGGGCTCTCCGAGAGGGGCGGAGGAATCGAACTCGGGTCGGCCATGTTGGCTGCGTGCAAGGCAAACGCCCTACTGCTGTGCCATCGTAGTGTTTCCATTTTTCTGGTGAGGAAACTGAAGCTTTGTAAATGTGCCACAAAGTATAGAAAGCAAAAGGTAAGTCTCCAAGAGGTTGATCATACTTGTGAGTTTCCAGTAAATCTATAGTTGACCATAAAAATATACATTTTTTTAAAAAAATTTTTTCCTTAACAGTTTAGGGAGCCATTAAGTGTTTTATTAATTTTTGGGGGGAGGGTTTGCACAACCAGTGGTGCTTAGGGCTTAATCCTGGGTCTGCACTCAGGGATCACTCGTGGTGGGGGCTCAGCAGACCATAGTGGGTGCCATAGATTGAACCTTTGGTGTGTGGCTATGTACCCTAGGCAGACACCCTACCCAATGTGCTGTCTCTCAAACCCCTCATCAAATGGCTTAAAACAGTGGAATGATATGGTTGGTTTTATATTACAGAAAAGTTTTACAGAGTTAAGTGGAGAATGACGGGAGTGGAGAGGGGAGAGCAAGAGAAAATGTAAGAAAACGTTTTCACTTTGTTAGTGAGATGTTGGTTTATTTTATTTTGGTTTTGGGGCCACACCTGGATGTGCACAAGGCTTACTCCTGGCTCTTCACTCAGCGATCACTCCTGGGTGAAGCTCGGGGTACCATACAAGGTGCCTGAGATTGAACCCAGCTTGGCCACCTGCAAGGCAGACACCCTATCTGCTGTACTATCTTTGAGGCCCCCTGAGGTTTGTTCGTGTGTTAGCAGAGAGATAAAATAAAAGATAAATGTTTTTGAGTAAGATTTTTATTTAGGAAATAAAGCCAATAGAACTTGCTAAGTGATTGGATGTTGAAAACGAAGAAGGTGGTATTAAATGTATTCCCTGCTTTGTGCATATTTATTAGTGTATCACTTCAGGGAAATTGTTTGTTGTGCACATTGTTAACTTTGAAGACCCTTCTCAACGTTCAGGTGGGGATGTACAGAGGTAGTAAAATAACCAGAAACTCAGGATTTCTCACTCTGGGCTGAAAATGAATGATTTGAGAATCACATAGAAGTGAATTGATGCCATAGTGATGAATTAGAACATCCGAGAACACTACAGATGGAGAAGGTAGTCTAGGGTAGCGTCTATGGGATTTCAATTTTCATTAATTAATATTTTAATTTATGGGGCCTTCAAGCTCAGTAGTCACAGAAGCTACTTCTGGAGATACTTGGCCAATCTGGTGGAATGGTCAGTGCTTGGGCCCAGTGGTGCTTGGAGGCCCATTTGGTGCCGGGAATTGAACTTGGTTCCCTATGCACACAAGACATGCACCCCTACCTCCTGACCATGTCCTTCCACCAGGATATCAAGTTTTAAATCTACACTTGTGTGTAGGGGAAGAAGTAATTTTTTTAAGTGTGGACATTGGTGTCAGACAGCCCTAAAGTCAAATCTGAGCTTTGCCACTTGCCTGTAAAACAGGATGCAGTAATTCCTGTGAATTGAATGAAACATAGAAGGGAATGAATGAGAAAATTGTTTAAGGCTGGAAGGGAAGGGTGTTGGAACATTGTATGACTAAAACCCAATCACAAACAACTTTATAACTGTGTATCTCACAGTGATTCAATTAAAAGGAAAAAAAATTTTAAATTTTTTTTAAATTTTATACCTAGCACTCAGCTGGGAAGTGGCAAAAAAAAATTTATTAATGTTAGTATAAGAAGTAGTCACTCTAGTAACTTGCTATTTTCTTTTTCATACCTATCTGACTCTGTTTCCATGCTTTAATTGATTCACAATTCCCATTCTGGTTAAAAGATTCTTTATAGAATAATAATAGCCAGTGATAATAATAACCACTATGTATTACTTACATACAATTCACAGTGTGCGTTGTATCAATCCTTATGATAATGCTAACATAGATAATATTTTTTATTTCCATTTTATAAAGGAAACTACAGAGATTCAGTCATTCTTTCAAGATCATAAAACTTGATTCAGAGCAGAAATTTAAACCAAAGCTATCTTATATTTAAGAGATTAGTTCTTAGTTACTGTGCTCCCCAAACTTTGGTCATTTGTGTATCACCCTTTTTGTGTACTTTTTCCCCTAGTGTCAGGTTTTAAACCCAGGTATACATATTACCACCGGGTCGTATCTCTGGCATCTTACCTTCATGATTTTTGCCACTTGTTATTAGCATTTTAACTGAATTATTAGAAATTTTGTGGGTGGAAGGGAGTAAAAATGGAAGTTTGGGAGCCACATTCAAGGCTTATTCTTGGTTCTGCGCAGGTATCACACCTGGTAGGCTCAGGGGACCATTTGGGGTGCCAGGAATCGAACCCAGGTTAGTTCTGTGCTAAGCAAGGGTCTTACCTGCTGTATGATTTCTCTAATCCCTTAATTTACACTTCCCTAATGGAAAACGTCCAAAGAAAATTCTGAGAGCTTTTCTTGATATTAATATTATAATATCAATATTTTAATATTGAAAAACAATAGGAAAAGGGAAGACTTCAAATCAAAAAGTTGTAAATTAAAGATACAGTTTTCTTTTTTTAAGTAAAGAAAACCGCATTCTCCAGGCCAGAGTGATAGTACAGAGGGTAGGGTGCTTACCTTGCATGCGACCAACCCAGCTTCAATCCCTGGCATCCCATGTGGTTCCCCAAACAAGCCAGGAGTAATCCTGAATTGCAGAGCAATATCCTGAGCATCTCTGGCTGTGACCCTTAAAGTAACAAAACCTATTTCCTGATTGTTGGCTCTTTACTTCATGGATAATGTCCCTTAATATACAAAATGTTTGATTTTTTTTGTGAATTCCAATTTGTTCTAAGTTCCTTTTGTGTCATATGCAAGAAACCATTGTCAAATATCTTGTGAAAGCTTTTGTCCTGTTTTCTTCTAAGGGTTTTACTGTTTTAGGTTCTTGATTTATTTTGAATTAACTTTGATGATATGTTCTATGAAGGCCAAACTTCAGCCTTTTGCAATGTAGATCTAGTTTTCCCAGCAGCATTTGCTGAAATTCCAGTAGACGGGGGTCACACCCACCACCTGGCCCCCTGGCGCCGTGTAATCCCATCAGCGGCCAAGACTCAGACGATAAAATCCAGCTCCTGGAACCAAGCGGCCGCAAGTGCGGCCACGCGACATCTTATCAGGACATCTTTTTATGACATCTTATTATCTCATTCCTACTTTGGACAAACTTGCAGGCTATCGAATGTTGCCTGCCCACAGGGCAGAGTCTGGCAAACTCCCCGTGGCGTACCAAATATGCCAAATACCAGTAACAATGATGGGTCTCATTCTCCTAAAGAGCCTTGAATATAATCTCAGGGCTAGGATGAAAGAGACGTTACTGGGGCCTGCTCGAGGCAATCGACGAATAACAGGATGATGAATGAATGAATGAATTTGCTGAAAAAGAAGTTTTTTCTTTAAATGGTCTTGGTACCCTTATTAAAATTATTTGACCGTATATGCCACTGCTTGTTTCCAGATTCTGTGTTCTGTTTCTGTAGTCAGTATATCTGTCTTTATGTGAATAGCACGTTGTTTTGATCACATATAGTTTTGAATAGAGAATTTGGAAATAAGAAAATGTCATTCCTCTAGTGTTTTGTTTGTTTTTTGCTTTTTGGATCACACTCAGCAATGCTCAGAGGCTACTCCTGGCTTTGCATTCAAGAATTAACTCCTGGCGATGCTTGGGGAACCATATGGGATCCTGGGGATTGAACCCAGGTTGGCCACATGCAAAGCAAACACCTACCCGCTGTACTAGCGCTCCGGTCCTGTGTTTTGTTTGGTTTTTTGAGCCATGCCAGGAAGTGCTAGGGATTGAACCCAGATCTGCTGCGTGAAAGGCAAGTGCTCTATTCTCTGGACTGTTTCTCTGGCCACACATCCTTCATTTTTTTAAAAAAAAAAATTTTAAATTAGATTTTTACTATGAGGTACAGTTGTAGATTTACAAATATTTGTGCTTGGGTTTCAGTTATACAGTGATCAAATATCCATCCTTTAGTTTTCATTTCAAAACTCTTGGGCCATTTTGGGTCCCTTGGGATTCCATATGAATTTGATAATGTTTTGTTTTCATTAAAAACCAGTGCATTTTTTTTTATTTATTTATTGAATCACTGTGGGAAAGGTTACAAAGCTTTC